CAAGCGTCTCCAGTTGAAGTTCTCTCAATTCTACTTATTTTTAAGAGTTTTTCTAGTGCTTAATAAAGGGAGGGGGGCAGTCTCTGGAAAGGTTCTAGAAAGTAAAATGAAAGAAAAGAATGAAAACGCAAAAAGTGAAGCTTCCATATTCTAGAAAGGTTTAGACGGTTTGTTGTACCATTGGGAAAGTAGCACCAATGCTGACTGCAGTGATTTGGAAAGGATGGAAAACAAACCAGAGTGGTTCTCTGCCTGGGCTCCCCTCAGGCTCCACTATTTGCAACGTGGCAAGCTTCCCAATTTCTGAAAAACTCCGTTTCCTGACTGGCAAGATGAGGATACGAGGACCAACTTGTAGGTTAAGTAAGATAATTTGTGTAGAGTTTAGCAGTACAGTGCCTGACACTGGGATGTAGTAAAATAAATGCCTACTATCCCCATCCCCATCCTCCTCACTATCACCATCCTCCTCACCATTGCCTTCCTCCTCACCATCACCTTTCTCATCATCATCTACCTCACCATCAGCCTCCTTATCACTATCAGCATCATCTCTCGGTGTTAGAGTTCACCAGGTTGCTTTCTGTAGTAAAATGTGGCCACTTTAAGGAATACAGTTTTCTCTCATCCTTAAGGTAGTAGCCCCTTTAGTTCTGTCATTCAGCTAAGCTTTTGGGGGACTTTTTCCCAAAGTGAGACTTATTGAATAGTGTAATGCCAGGTTCTGAACTTTACATGCCATTTCTCTTTCAATTCTCTCAACACCCCTGCGTGGTGAAGTTCCTCTATTGTTAACATGAGTGTGGATGAGGAAATTCAATCAGAAAGGATAAGGAACTTGTCAAGGTCGCACAGCTGTTACGGGGCAAGCTAGCTCTTTCATTTGAGTCTACGTTTACCATTATCATTGACGAAACACTTTACCACTATGAACTCTGGTCTTTGTCTATATAGAAAAATAGAGGATCACTGATAAGAGCAATTTATGAGTGATCAATAAATTATTCAGAAATTGAAATTATCCACTTCATCTTGAAAATGCAGGATAGAGGGGCACCTGGGTGGCGCAGTCGGTTAAGCGTCCGACTTCAGCCAGGTCACGATCTCGCGGTCCGGGAGTTCGAGCCCCGCGTCAGGCTCTGGGCTGATGGCTCAGAGCCTGGAGCCTGTTTCCGATTCTGTGTCTCCCTCTCTCTCTGCCCCTCCGTCGTTCATGCTCTGTCTCTCTCTGTCCCAAAAAAATAAATAAACGTTGGAAAAAAAAAAAGAAAATGCAGGATAGTTATGAGATTTAAATGAGAAAGCACATTTTTATAAAGCATCTAGCATATTATAGTCATTTAAGAAATGTCAAAGTCCTCCTGTTTATACCTTAGTATACCGTCCCATCATCAGTCACCCCAAAGGACCTACCAAGGGGCATGCAGAGTAAGTGCTCAATACTTTCTTCTTACTTGAATGAACTTGAGCTTCTTGAGGGGTCTTGTAATTGAGAAAGTGTCCTCCAATTTCTCGGTTGCCTGGCTTGTCCCACAGAATAACCTTGAGCTGTCAGGGCCCTAGGCACAGATGGTCCCCTCTATTCCACGGGGTCTCTTATCAGAAGACAGCAGGAGAAAAATGAGGAGTGACAAGGAATATTTGGAGAGTTGAGCAGGGGTTGGAAGAGGGAAGAGATTAGAGGGACAGAGGGAAAAACTCAAGGAAAAATCGAGGGGAGATGAGGGCAGTGACCTGAAAAGCAGGGTGCCCTCCCCTCTTTCTGCTAATGCATGCTTCAAGGCACTCTGGGACTCCTTCACTTCATGCTGTCAGTTGGGACCCTTTCCATGGCAGACTTCCTTCCATCTACCTTCTGTCTGTCCCACTGGCCTTACTCTTCGGGTCCTAGTTATAGGCTAGAACTCGAGTAGCCTGCCTGCTGTGATATTTAGGACAAAGGCTAGGTGGCTGCAACAGGGGGCTGAAGTTTACTTTCCTCACAGAACAGTTCTGGCCGACACTCCGGGGTTGGAGTGGGGGGCTTGATCGTGTCAGAGACCCAGGCTCCCCCCCATCCTGCCCTGCAGGCTCCTCCAGAATGCTGCCTTCCCTGCACAAACATGGCTCAGCCCCAATCCACAGCCCACGAGAAGGAGAGACGAAAGGGAAGCACGAGGTCCTCGCTTCGTAAGCACATGATCTGAAAGTTGCACATGCTATGCCCTCGGCAGCCTGTTAACCACAGGGATTTGGTGTTAGTTTGCTGAGGCTCTCATAGGCTGGGGGGCTTAGACCATGGAAGTTTCTTTTCTCTCACTTCTGGGGGCTGGAAGTCCAAGATCAAGGTGTCGGCATGTTTGGGTTCTCCTGAGGCCTCTGTCCTTGGCTTGCAGATGGCCATCCTCCTGCTGTGTCTTCACGTGGTCTTTCCTCTGTGCGTCTGTCTCCAAATTTCCTCTTAAAACAACACCAGTCCTACGGGACTAGAGCCTAACCTGAGGGCCTCGTTTTCATCTAATCACCTCTGTAAAGGCTCTCAGTCACATGCTGAGGGACTGGGAGTTAGGACTTCAACATGGGAATCCGGGGAGCACATAATTCAGCTCACATCAGGGGCCATATGTCCAGCTGAACCAGAGAGGAGAGCATCCCTCGGGCCTCTCCCTGCCAATGCGTATCTCTTAGGGACTATCTAAGTCACGGCCCCTCCTTCCAGACTATGCCTTGGGCTTTCTGTCTCTACCTTGGCTTAGGCGGTATCTTTCCTGAGGATGTCTTCCTCCCACACCCAAACCTTGCAATGCTCCCCACCTCTTCCCCCCACAGTGCCCTGTCCTTGATAAAAGTTGTCCTTTTACGGCCCCACAAAATGTCATTTCACTCCCTCAGTCATACATTCAGTCGACAGACACCCGCTGATGCCCCACTGTGTGCGGGGATGGATGAGCCGCTGGAAACGAGCAGTCCCTGTTCTTCAGTGCTCACAGTCTGGCCACGGAGTTTCACCCCTCTGCTCTCCCTTCCATACTTGATCGATCCTGCTCAGACTCTGAAGGAAAACCACTCTTGTGCGTCTCCTCTATACTCAATGCTCTACTGCAACCTGCTTCACTTCTGACGCTCCAACCCTCTTTTTTTTTTTTAATATTTATTTTTTTATTTTTTGAGAGAGAGAGAGCACGAGCTGCAGAGGGACAGAGAGAGAGGGAGACACAGACTCCGAAGCAGGCTCCAGGCTCTGAGCTGTCAGCACAGAGCCCGTCATGGGGCTCGAACCCGTGAAACATGAGATCATGCCCTGAGCCGAAGTCAGACACTCAACCAAATAAGCCACTCAGGCTCCCCCATCCAATCCTCTAATCAAGACTGTTGCCCCTGGCAACCAGCCCCCATCCTTAGGTTACTAGCAGCTTTCCGAAAGTCACCTCCTTAACATAGGGTGTGTTTGAAAGGGGCTTGTTATGAATAACAACATAACAATCCATTTCGCCTTTACGGCTCTGCAGCTACATCAGGAACCAGGAAAAAGAGATGCCTCCTTAGCTCATATCACTTAGGAAATTAAAAAGGTTTTAGGAGCTAGTTCCAGGATGGAAGACGAACTTCTTATTCTAAATTACAATATCACAGATGCTTATGCCACACTTTGCTGTGTGAGGCTGCTATTTATATACTAGCTTTATTTCTTCTTCTAGAGAGGAAGTGCAAAGTCCAGGGATGAGCATACACTACAAGCTGTCTGAGTCAATAACACTTAATTTTAAAAAGTAAACCTGATCCACTTCTGGGTATATACCGAAAGGAATTTAAAGCAGGACTTGAACACATATTTGTACCCCCACATTCACAGCAGCATTATAACAATAGCCAAAAGGTGGAAACAACCCAAATGTCCATGAATGGATGAACAGATAAATGAAAACCGGTATATCCGTACGATGGAATAGTAGCCTTAAAAAAAGAGAGGAAATTCTGACATATGCTACAAAATGGATAAACCTTGAATCCATCATGCTAAATGAAATAGGCTAGTTACAAAGAATAAATACCGCATGATCCCACTAATATGAGGCACCTAGAGTAGTTAAATTCGTAGATACAGCAAGTAAAACAGGCTCCTGGGTGGCTCAGTCTGTTAAGTGTCAGACTCTTGATTTCAGCTCAAGTCATGATCTCACGGTTCCTAGGATCGAGCCCCACATCGGGATCTGCGCTGACAGCATGGAGCCTGCTTGGGATTCTCTCTTTCTCCTCACTCTTTGCCCCTCAGAGAAAATAAATAAACATTAAAAAAAAAAAAGAAAGAAAGTAGACTAGAGGTTCGGGGGAGGGGGAAGGGGGCAGGGAGATTGGAGCTATTGTTTAACGGGAACAGTTTCAGTTCAGGAAATGAGAAACTTCTGGAGATGGATGGTGGTGATGGAGGCACAACGATGTGAATGTGTGTAATGTCACTGAATTGTACCCTCAAAAGTGCTTAAAATGATACATTCTGTTATGTGTATTTTACCTCCCTTCTCTCAAGAAAAAGTAAATCTGGTAACGTGGACAGCTTGGGACGCACCGTTCTCCTATCATCAGCCCAAGCCAGCTCCTTGTCAGAACACTGTGTGAGGTTTATATGCACACACTTCAGCTGGATGTCAGGCCTGGGAGCCTCAGGGATTATTTTGGAGGAGAGGGGTGAGAACAGGTACTTCCTGTTAGCCTGGAGACTTGGACCACCGGCTACAACTTCTGTTCACAGAAAGCTTCAATTATTGCAGGAAATTTTGCATATTTTTTTTCCCTAGCAGTGTTTTTTCTTTAGCTACTAGAACAACTGTTAATTATCAGAGACAGCGTTTTTACTGACAGGAAAAACAGAGTCTCATTCCTGTCTCAGAGGGTCCGGGGGTCCTGGTATCAGACAGGATGCAGTGCCTTCTTGGACTCCTGGGGCCTGTCAATCACCTTGTGGTTCAGCCCGCCCACTGCTTCCGGAAAGATCAGTGAACTGGAACAATCCTCCCAGTTCTTCCACCCACATCCGTGTTACAGGAAGGACCAAACTTTGAACCCAACTAGGTAGGTGGTGGGCAGGGAGGGCACCTACTTGAATAAGTTTTAAAGAAACACAGGCGCCATTTCTTGACTCTTTGCTGACCCCTCCGAGAGCGCTTTGGCCACCCCAGAACTGTTGTGTGAGCTTTGATAAACCTTTGAAGCAGCAAAGCTGGCCTGGCCCAGCTATTATTAGTAGGAGAACTTTTGACCCTGGTCTAGATAGGAAAGGGTGTCTGACAGCCCCCAACTGGCTAAGCCTGGAGATAATTAATGCTCCTGTCACCTTTTCATCCCCTGTTGCTCTGTCTGGAATGCTCCTTAGTGCCAGAAACCTAAGATGAGCTTGTGACAGAGTTGCTCCTGGGTATTAGGGGCACACTCCGACTGGGCTGGGCTGATGAGTTCTGTTTGCCTCCATCCTGCGCTGTTCTCAATCTTCCAAGTTCCGGAAACCTGAAGTATGTGGAAATTAGGGATTTCCTGTGATTATTGAAAATAGCCAGTATGAAGTCGCCCTGATCTTACTGTAAAGGAATATATTATTTAAAAAAAAAGTTTTTTAATGTTTATTTGTTTTTGAGAGAGAAAGCACGAGTGAAGGAGGCACAGAGAGAGAGGAAGACACAGAATCTGAAGCAGGTCCCAGGCCCTGAGCTGTCAACACAGAGCCCGACGCAGGGCTTGAACTCACAAACTGTGAGCCAGAGTTGGATGCTTAACCGACTGGGCCACCCATGCACCCCTGTAAAGGAATATATTCTTTATCAAAACTAATATGCCAAGTATAACCTTATACATGGTGAGGATTAGAAAGTAATGAAAAGTCAATCTTCCTGGGTTCAAATCCCAGTGTTGTCACTTACTGTGTGACCTTGGGCAGGTTATTTGACCTCTTTAGCCTCATTCTCTGTATCTATAAAATGGGAATACTAGGTAGGTACCTCACTGAGATATTGTGAGGGGTACGTGAGATGCTCCATATAAAGTGCTTAGCAGTGTCTCCAACAGAATATGCTAGTTATGGTAATTGTTACTTTGACATTCAAGCAGAAGAATGTATTTATGCATGACTTTCATTTGTAATATTTTCTAAGACATTTTCATGCCCAGTCTATATATCTTTTTAGTAATCGGTATGTAGTAAAAAGCGGAGAAAAACATGACCGTCTGAGAATGCAGAACTCTGCGAAGTGCTTTGCAGTATCACAGCTCTCCAAACACCTGGGTGCCCAGCCCACGCACGTGCTGTTTTGACACCTGGAAGACTGAGCATTTCCAGGCAGATTACGCGTCCCTAAGTTTTAGGGAATCACAGAAGGAGAAAGAATGTCAGAAATGCACTTGATTTTTCACCGTCCAAACGGGCAGTAACTAAACGCACGTACTTGGCACTGAATTGCATGTCTGAGGAGGCAACCAGAGGCGGAGAACTTGAAGTTCTGCAACTTGCCCTCCAAAGAACACAGATCTGACACGGTGCTCCCACCACCATGCCACTTCTGGGAGACCAGGCTGGAGTGTTCTATAGTCCTTAACCTGTCTTACATGGGTCATCTTTGAGGGCAAGACAGAATTTTGCTGGGGATCCAACCCCAGAATGAGACCAAGTCACGTCATTGTGAACAACAGCCTTCTGTACCAGTGCCTAGAGCTGACTTAACAGAACGCAGGGAGGTTTTCGTATTCCGGTTGTACTCAAGGGCCAACGTTTGGGATCTTGGTGTGAGATGGTCACATAATACAGAACTATACAGAGAAGACCATTTCCATTGATGGGACCGAATCATTTCAGCAATTGGCTTGTACTCTGAAATCATGAGTAGCAGTGCTAGTTAATGCTGTTGCTTGGTGACCTGCCCATGGGTCCATGTGGCTACTAGCGACTTTACAGGACTTCTTTTTCTTTCTTTCTTTCTTTCTTTCTTTCTTTCTTTCTTTCTTTCTTTCGGACTTCTTTTTCTCCTTCTTCTTCCTCCTCTTCATCTGGTAAGGTTAATGCATATTTAGCCATAGGTTAACCTCCTTATCTAAGTGGAAACCAAAGCGTCACCTTGAAAATCTTCCCAAACACTCATACCTCACATCATTTTCCACAAATGAGCTGTGTAGTCTGTATGACCAAACATAGTAGTTAAATAGAAGGGGATCTTGGACCTCATTTTGATATTTTTGATGTTTGGAATGCTCTCTAAACATCAAACCAGATGGTCTGATCAATGTCCAATATTACACCTGATAGATTAAGTATTACAAATCCTAATTTAACGTAATTTTGCCAGTATAGTTTCCTATAGCATCCTCAGCTTTCCCTTTGTGGAACTCAATTATTACTATCCGTCTAGATGATGCTACTGACCCCCTCCCCCTTTAGAAGGCCCTTCCTGTACTCTAAATTGCCCTCCCCCCGTCAAGAGTAATGATGAATTTGCACTGGACCATACACATCTATCTTATGCTCATGTACGATGACATTCATTTCACAGACTTGGAGTGCAGCAGGCATTTGTCACATTTGCTTGCTCTAAATTCATTAATTTTTTTTTTTTAATCTGATTTTCCCTGGGAAACCAATTCCCCACTCTGAGTGCATATGTTTGGAGTGGCTAAATCCATGAGCCCCCTCGCAATGTCCCCTCCCCTTTGCAACATGGGCCACCTGCAATCCAACCTCAACTGGCTGTGTAATCTACCCTCAGGCACAGAGATGGCACAGGAGTGAGCACTTGGTCCAGATGGCCCAATGACACTTAGTGTCGGGAGGTTTAATGGAACACTTGTAAAAAGGATCTCTCTTTCCTGGAGCAGGTGGGGCGGGGTGGGGGGGATGTTTTTGACTGGAATGTGAACCTGGAATAACTCTTAGCCATTTCACCTCTGAATGAGAGGAGCTTATTTAAATGAAATCAACACAGAGAAAGCAGTCAAAGGACCCACGTAGAGAGAGACCAGGTCTTAATGACAGCACTGGAGCCCCTGCAGATTCCCCCAAATTTCTTCTGGACTTTGGTTTTATGTACTAATAATACTTTTTTTTTTTTTTGGCTTAAGTCTATTTGAGTTGTGCTCATTGAATCAGTGAATGACTGGGTGAATGAATGAATGAATCTGGCCACACACCAACAAAACCAAGAGCACCTGCTACCATCCAAGTCAGTTTCTGTGCCATAGCTTTATATCACAGTGAGTCATTCCCATGTGTGACAGGCATTGTTAGTTGCCTGCCGGTCTGCCACTTCTCCTGTCCCCTCCCCCCCCCACCGCCCCCCACCTGGTTTCTTGTTAACAGGGCAACCAGGATCCAGCCTGCAGGGATAACTCATAATTGATCCCTAATATGTCTCAATAGAGGACACATTACAAGACTTTTAGGATAGCTGGTCCCCACTCATTAAATGACAGTAACCATTTTTGACCACTAAAAAGGCCCTCCTCACTGTCCACTGTCATCCCCCACATTTTCAAACTCTTGTTGCTTCTTTCTGACAAATACTTGTTTTCCAAAATTTTCTTATTTTTTAATAAGAAATAAGGGGAGTAGAATTCTGCTAATGAAAAATAAAATTCCTTCCTGTCCCTGCTCTCTTTCTTTCCACCGTGAATAAAGGGTGTGAGGATGTGATGCTTGTGAGGCAGCAGCCATATTTAGACCAGAAGTGTATTAGTTTTCTAGAAGTGCTGTAACAAATGACCACAAACTCAGTGACTTAAAACAACAGAAATTTATTTTCTCGTCAGTTTGGAGGCCAGAAGTCTGAAGTCAAGACACCGGCAAGGTTGGTCTCTTCCAGAACCTCTGAGTGAGAATTTGTCATTCTGTGCCTCTGTCTTCACAGCTCCTTCTTGGTATTTTTCCTTGCTTTCTCTTCTAAAGACACTTGTCATAGGATTTAGGGTCCATCCTAATTCAGGGTAATCTTGTCTTGAGATTAGTTATATCTACAAAGACTCTTGGTCCAAATGAGGTCAACGTCACAGGTTATGGGTTGATTGCTCTTTTGTGAGGCATCTTGAGATTAATTATGTCTACAAAGACCCTTGGTCCAAATGAGGTCACAGTCACAGGTTCTAGGTGGACATATCTTTTGTGAGGCCACCTTTTTTTCTTTTTCTTTTCTTTTCTTTTTTTTTTTTTTTTTTT